CGGGCGGCACACGAGCCAGGTGAGCGCGATACCTCTTGAGCCACATCCCTAGCCCTCTTATAGCTTTTATTGTGTCTGTTACAATGTATAAGATAGGCAGGATCACTTAACTTGCTTTTTTTCTTTTGATGATTGCAATACTTTTTCCTATTTTCAAAGGAATTTGTTATTCATGAAATTGGAAAATCTGTACTTCTCTTGTTTATATCATAATATCTAAATTTGACAGGTGGTCTGTATTGGGGAAGAGAATTTACGAATCTTTTTCTTGTAGTCTATGTTTTTGTTAATTTCTTTAAAAATATTTTTAGTTATAGATGAACATAATACCTTTGTTTATTTTTTATGTGGTGCTGAGGATTGAATTCCTTGCCTCACACATGCTAGGCAAGTGCTCTGCCACTGAGCCACAATCCCAGCCTGTTTTTATTACTTTTCATGTTTATTTGTACATAGCATTGTATTTTTAAAGATAATATGCAATGACTAATTCTGTTAAAAGTAATACATACAAAATTTGGTCCCTTTGGTGGTCTCTAGGGATATCAAATTTTATCCAAATTTGGTAGTGGCTAGAAGAGTCAAAACTCTAGACACACAGATGGTTGGTATCAGGAGGTGAGCAGCAAGGAGACAATAAGGAGTAGTACAGAAGACATGAAAATGAGCACTATTTTTTTTTTTTGGTGTGGGGGGGTACTAGGTATTGAACTCAGGGGCACTTACCCACTGAACCATATCCCTAGCCCTATTTTGTATTTTATTTAGAGACAGGGTCTTACTGAGATGCTCAGTGCCTCAATTTTGCTGAGGCTGGCTTTGAACTCACAATCCTCCTGTCTCAGCCTCCCAAGCTACCCGGATTACAAGGTTGCACTACCGCGCCCAGCAGCACTGTGTTTTAATGCCATTCTGATTCCCATCTGTGTTTACCATCTTTATATTTAAGATCTGTCCACATTGCCTTGATCTCTTATTCCTTCTAACTTTTACATACTAACATATCATATATATTTTATCTACTGATTCACTCAGTGATGGGCACATGTACTGCCTCCAACAAAGGTAAACAATACTTTATATCTCACTCCAACCCTAACCAATTCTGACTCTTCAAGGAATATTCAACATATGGTTACCAATTAGCAATTAACAAGTATTTAATAAATACTTCTGGAACTGATTTACAGAGGACTCAAACGTCAGGTAGTGTGTTTATTTGACTCTAGGTCAATTTGCCAAAAATTAATTTCCAGAAAGTCACTTCTAGAATAAAAATATTTGTCAAAATTCAAATTGACAAAATTCTCTAAATTACCAATTTGATATGATTAGTTGAAAAGTACAAGCTCTATTTACACCTCAGCCTTCTGTGAGGCAAGCCCAGGAGCAGGGGCAGACCATAAGTATACTAAACTGAAGATGAACTGCAAAACAACTAAGAAAAACTTCACTATCAGTATGTCAAGTGGTGGGGGTAGACACTGATCTAAAGCTTTGAAGAAATCAAAATCTATTCGCAAACTAGCTTTCAGCTGCTAGTAACAAGAAACAAAATTAAAAGAAATTTAAATAAAACTGGTTTTATTTCATAATAAGATATCTACAGATAGTCAGAGGATGGTACTGGATTAGCAGACCAACATGATGAGCACTGGTATCTCTTTGGTTCCCATGATCTTTCCTTTCTCATTTGAAAGGACCATTCCAGCTTTTTCCATAACCTCAGTATTTGTTTCAAAAATAGGGAAAAAGATGGCTTAGCTACTTTTATCACTTCTATTCGAGAAGCAAATCTTTCCCAGAAATCCTGCAAATGTGTCCCAAGGCTACCTGTAGCTGCAATAGAGGATGCGAAGGTGAGCAGTTAAGCTTTCCCAACTTCTTTATTGATAGGAAAAGGGGATGTTGGGAATGGCTGACAAGTTGGGCTACCAACATTATATAAGTAATTTCTTTTTCAAAATCGGTAGTTTTTATGTCAAGAAATTTCTGTTGATAATTTCAAGATTAAAAATTGAAATGCAGGTTCTTTAAATCATGACATTTTCATCAACTACACTTCTTTTTCTTGCTTTATTTTTACCCTAACATGCAAGTGCTCCAACACAAAGCTACACCCCCAGCCCTTATTTAGTTTTTAGCTTGGAACTTGTGATCGTCCTGCCTCAGCTTCCTTAGTCACTGGGAATATAGGTGTGTGCCACTGCACTCAATTTTAAAACTACTTCATCTCTCAAGAAACAGTGGGAAAAAACAAAAAGTCAACAGTAACAAAATACAAAATACTCTTCTCCTTAGTTACTGTCCTTCTACACCAAAAAACATCTGGAAAACATCCCCACATCCTTTGGCATTTAAGAACTGATACAGCTGACCAAAATCCATGTGGTTTCCTCTGGCTCCATTAACACTGAATACTTTTTCTTCAAAAATGGAAAATCTCCTTTGTCTTTCCATTTCATCATTTGTACCATCAAAAGGAATGTCTTCTCTATGGCGAATTAAGATTCTCTTCCAGTTTAATTTTCTGAGCCTGAAAAGAAATTTTCAAAGTGGAAATTTTTTAAATTGTGTTGAATATTCTATAGCATTATAACAGAAGTTATAAAACAGTTTTAGCAAATGTCCTATCTTATAAGCAAAGATATCTTTTTTTTTCTTAAGTTTACTTTTATCTCATTGGTGTTTATTTTAATCAGCTATGATTTTGGTTGTGATCCTAACCAAAACCTCTTTTACTGCTGTTATTGACGTGATATATAAACTATGTGAAAGCAAACCTTGACCAGAATTCTTCACAGGCACTTTGTGGACCTTCCACACAAACAACACCAGGTTTTCCAGGCATACTAAATCCAGACAGGGAAAGCTCCTTGGCCCACTCTAGAATATTCTTTCTTTTGCATTTGTTGTAGATGTGATGGCTGTAAATCCAAAGTCTTGTAAGAATGGGATCAACTGGCTGGACTGCACTTTCTGTGGTGGGGGAAGATGGGACATCTTTGCTGACATAGCCTGAGGCGTGTTCTCTAACCCATTCAGTGGCATTCAATATACAGACATCTCCTTGACAATTCTCCTGCAGGTATGCAGTCAGATCTGTGTTCAGCTGGGTCTGCTTGGATCTACTTAATAATACTGATCTGATAGAAAAGAAGGGGGAAAAATTAAATCAATTTTCTTGGAAGAGAAAACTCAAGAACTGCTTTTATTCTGATGACTTTTGACTTTCTAAAATTAGTCAGTGTTTCTGTAACATACCTGACAGTAATTTCAGGCAGAACTTCAGGGTACTTAAAGGGAAGAATGCAGGCCAGAGAAAATATCTCCTGAGAAGAGCAAGAAGAAAGACAAAGGAAAAGAGAAAAAAGAATGCCGTGTTACTGTAAGTCTTGGCATGTTCTAATCTTTACCAAAACAAAGTTGAATTACCATTGATTTCTCAGATATGTCTAGGTTCATATTGATGGTATAGTAAACTTTTGAAGATCGCTCCTCCATAGTCTTCTTTTCAATACAATCTTTCAGTTCTGCTAAAGCCAGTTGGTCATTCACTATGAGCTCATTCTCCCCAGGAAACATACTGGCCAGCAGGTCTAACTCAGAGAGCTGGGCCTCTGCTTGCTCTATCTCAGTCATTTTTGGACATCTGTAAGTTTCTAAGGAGGTAAGAATAAGAGAGACAATTTACATATATAATCTTGAGAGAACTCAATAGATTAACATGGGTACTTACCAAAAGGTACTTGATTTTTTTCATAAAATATGAAATTTAATTGGTCTTTCCCCTCCTTATTCTACTTTCAGATGTACTATGCTTAAGACCAAAAATGTGGGGGCAATCCAGTGAGAGACATACTATTCTAATAATAACTAAATTCCTTTGTTCTTCCTATTATCTATATAGTACACCTGGTATTTTCAGCTACCACAATGACCAACTTCAAGTAAACAAATTACAGTCAAAAAGCTATACCAATTATATATCCAGAAGAGAGGAAATCTAAGATGAATAAATGAATAAGAGAATTTAGTTATGGGTATGGTTAACTTCTTTTTAGGAAATAAAGAAGAGCAAGTAATGGCTAATCATCCCACAGCTCAAGTAATCCCTGTTAACATTTTTAAAGTTAGGATCGAAGGTTCAGCAACTTAGCAGTGAGACCCTGTCTCAGAGTAAAAAAATCAAAAGCATGCCTGGCACAGTGGTACATGCCTGTAATCTTAGTGGCTTGAGAGGCTGAGGCAGGAGGATCATGAGTTCAAAGCCAGCCTCAGCAATGGTGAGGCGCTAACCAACTCAGTAAGACCTTGTCTCTAAATAAAATATAAAATAGGGCTGGAGATGTGGCTCAGTGGGTAAGTGACCCTGAGTTCAATCCCAGGTATCTCTCCCCAACCAAAAAAACAAAAACACAACAAAAAACCAGGGTTGGGATGTAGCTCAGTGGTAGCGTGCTCCTGGGTTAAACTCCTGGTATCTCCACCAACACATACAAAGTACAAAGTACAAATTCAAATGACAGAAGAAAGTTAAAACACAAAGATAAAGCCTTCCGCAGGTGGCCTCCTCTTCTTTCGTAAGTCTACACCAAAGCAGAGTATTGATGTTTCATATCAGAAAACTAAAGATGTTAATTAAATCATTGCATAGAATAATAATCAGAAATGACTCTAATGTTCAACAATAGGACACTTATTTAATAAATATACATGCAAACAAGAAAATATTATGAGGTCATTAAAAATGTGTATCGTCATTGATGTTCATGACATATGGTAACCTGAAAAAAAGTAGCTAGAACAATGCGTGTATATATATCTATATCTATATAGATCCCACAGTATTCATATATATATATTTTATATATTATTATATATAGCCACATATTATGTGTGTGTGTGTGCATATATATATGTATATATATTTTTTTCTCCTTTCATTGCTAGGGATCCAACCCAGGGCCTCATGCTATATTATTTTTTCATGATTGTTATATGCATAGAAAAGAGTTAGAAATGAATTTACCAATTAGTGTTGGTTGAAAGGGGTTGAAGGAAGAAAGAAATTTTGTCATTAGCATGTACTATCTCTAAATTGAGCAGAGAAAAAGAATGATTACTCTTTTGAAAAACACCTCATTGCTACACAGGAAAACTTGGCTTACCTTCTTTAAAATATTTTATTTTGTGAAATCAAACATCATTATTTAAATCAGTGGTGTCTTCACATCATTCTTGTTCATCTTTGGTAAAATTTATCAAGCAGCTATTATATGTAAAGCTTTGACCTTCATGTCTTCCTGGCATTACTTAGTTTGAAGATCAGGATACACATCTAATAGGATACAAAAATAACAACAAAAAGGTTGCATTAAATGACATAGGTATTATCATAGGAATAACATGAGCACATAATCAATGAAATGGGCCAAAAAAGGGTAAGATTTGAGGAAGAAGGCAGGATCTGAGCTGAACCTTCATGAAAGTGTAAGACAGATAGGTGAAGAAGGCATATGGAGGAGAGCTTCTGGAAGTAAGTAATCAAGTAATCCCTGTTAACATTTTTAAAGTTAGGATCACAGGTTCAAGGCTAGTCTTTGGCATGGGAAAGCAGCACAGCTAAGTGATGAAGGCTGTAGCCTCCCCAAGCACAAGTAAAACAGTACAGTTATCTTGGTACCCATGGGGGGTTGGTTCCAGGATGCCCTGCAGATACTATACTCTATACTCCAGGGATTCTTTTTTTTTTTTAAATTTATATTTATTTATTTTAACAAAAAATTACATAAAAATTCCAAATTTTATTCATTAAGCTTTTGATATTTTATATAACTATTTTTGTTTTCCTTTTAAATATCTATTTACTTTTCATTTATTCCTGTTTATCAATAATTCCTTTGTCTAATAGCTTCACTCAGATATATTCAAAATATATTTAAAAGCCACTAATTATAATGTAGGCATTGATGTTTAAATATTACATTCCAGGGATTCTCAAGTATAAAATGGTATGGCACTTCCATATAACCTACATATCCTCCTATATGCTCTAAATCATCTCTAGATAATTTATAACACTCCATACAATGTAAAGGTCATGCGAAGGGAATAATGACAAAAAATCTAAAAGAATCTGTTCATACAGGCATAACTTTTTTTCCTGGCTATTTTCAATCTATAATCGGTTTCAATCTATAACTGGTTCCATGGACATGGAACCCAGAGATATGGAGGGATGACTGTACACACCTGAACTTATGCCTTCCTCACAATCCCAACTACCAAGATCTAATTCAGGGGCTCATTGTTATGACTGTTTTCTTTCTGCTTGTCCTCTAAATCCATTCTTAGTCCTTATCTCTGCCCTGAACTCTAGGCAGCTGACCTCCATAGCCTGAAAGCATCTTATCCCTCTGCCTTTTGTGGTTGGGTTCAGTCTATGCGCTCACAGGACATGGGAGAATGGGAAGAGAAAGAGGCCAGGGTATTTTTTCATTCTTCCTTCTTTGCTTTGGTAGGATTCTGACCATGGTTGAAGCTCTTGAAGACCACAGTTTCTTCAGGCATTCCTTTTGTCCCTGGCTCCAGCAGGCTTTTGCACTTGGGGAGTGTAATTGTTCCTTTGAACTTGGCCACACCTTTGGAAAAGGCCCCTTTATTAAAGAGTCTCTTCAAAGTGTCTATTTCCCGGGAGAATCTTGCACATTGCCTCTAATATCTATCAACTCACACTGCACACTGTTATTACGATAATGATGATCATATGCAGTTTCTAGACAGGGCTCCAAGGAGGCAGGCAAGAAAGCATGAACTTTTAGGAAGAGATCCACATAGTGGTTGGCTGGGCACCAGTACTGAGAACAAGGGGTGGGGCAGCTTAGAGGCCATGGAAGGCCAGCTGAACACTCTTAAAAAGTTACCTTGTGCAGTGAACTTATCCACTGTTCATGATAAGACTGTTTTATAGATCTGGTAGCACAAAATGCTAGCTCACTGAAAGTGGATCCAATTCACAAAGGCTGCCTTGGATAAAGTATTATCAAGTTCTTTAGGAACATGTCTTTCTCTTTATTCAAGTCTATTTTATTTCCTCCAATATAGTTATATTCTTTTTTGAAAAATATTTTCTAGTTGTAGATGGACACAATATATTTATTTATTTATTTGTATGTGGTGCTGAGGATCAAACCCAGTGCCTCACGTGTGTGAGGCAGAAGCTCTACCACTGAGCTACAGCCTCAACCCCTAGTTTTATTCTTCAATACCAGGAAATGGTATTTTTTCAATGATTTAGCTAACTTGTTATATGGTACTTCTGAAGAGGAAAAAAAGTTCTACTTAAAAAAATAAATTATAGGTATGTCCTGCCAAAAACCCATTAAGCATTATGAGAATGACTAAAAGTGAAAGGTGGCAGGGTGCTGCATTCATTAGAGTTAACTCGACATAAATCAGGAAAATACGAAGCACTCTTGTACACATTGGACTGTCTCCACAGATTAGAGTATAAATCAATGTCAACACCATATTATTCCTAATCTCAGTGAATCTTCAACTGATTTCCTTAAGACACTGATTACTACAGTGTCAATGCCATGCTGGGGGTGGGGAGGAGTGGGGAGAGGAATCACAGAAGGCATTTGGTACTAGGAGAAGCTCTTGAGATAGAGTAAACAAAACAAAGTTCAACAGGGTGTTTTAGGGTGACCTTGAGTACTGATTAGCGTGTACACATTTTATATGTGCCTTTTCAGAATCCTTATTGTTAGATTCCAACAGTGCAATGACTTTTTAAGAGGTCAATTTAGTATGCTGTCTACCCCAAACCTATCTTACTTCAGGACATTCTTTTCCTGGCTAATTGATTTAGCTCTTTTTACCACAGAAGAGCAGAAGATGCCACCTAGTCATCCAGACTTCTGTAGTTTAAATATTACCATGATTACTCACCACCTTTAAGTTTTTTTCAAATAACCATTAGAGGCTGGGTACAGTCGCACATGCTACTGTAATCCCAGCAACTCAGAGGCTGAGGCAGGAGGATTGCAAGTTCTAGGCCAACTTCTGCACCTAGTGAGACCCTGTCTTAAAATAAAAAGTAAAAAGGGCTGAAGATGTAGCCCAGTATAAAGTGCCCCTGGGTTCAATTCCTAGTATAAAAATAAATAGAACAATTGTTATCGATACATGTGTTCTTCCATCCTTCAACCACAATGCTTCTTTAGTAACCAGAAACTTCATATAATTTTATATCCTACTATTTTCACTTAACATAGTTTAAGCATTTGCTATTATTCAACATTTTCTCATAACTATTTAAAATTCCCAGATTTATTATAATTTCATAAACATATTCTCTAGTCTTTTTTGAAGTTGAATAATGCTAGAAAACAATTCATTTGGTGATTATTAAAGAAAATGAATTTACCTTTTTTTCAAATCTTTATTTCACTTTTATGTGGTGCTGAGGATCAAATCTAGTGCCTCACATGTGCTAGGCGAGCACTATACCCCTGAGCCACAACCCCAGCCCAGAATTTACCTTTTTTTTTTTTTTTTTTAAAAATTGTGATGGTTTATAGTACAGACTCTTTTTGGGGGGTGGGTACCAGAGACTGAACTCGGGGGCACTCAGCCACATCACAAGCCCTATTTTGAATTTTATTTAGAGACAGAGTCTCACTGAGTTGCTTAGTGCCTTGCTTTTTGCTGAGGCTGGGTTTGAACTCACAATCCTCCTGTCTTAGCTTCCCGAGCAGCTGGGATTACAGGTGTAAGCCACCACACCTGGCTAAAGTATGGACTCTTTATCAGATTTCAGTTGTACAAGGTACAAATCCCAGCTTTGCCAATAACTGTGTGACTTTGGGCAAGTCATTTGATGTACCTGAGTCTCATTTTCCCCATCACCAAAACAGAAATGATAATGGTGCTGTGAAGATTAAGTGAGTGCGTGAAAAGTGCTCAAAGGAATGACTGGTAACAGAGTAGAGTTATATGACTTCTTGCTATAATGATTATTTGTCATTCTTTCAACAAATGTTTCTCAAGCAGTTTTTATGTGTCAAACATTGTCATTGGCACTGTAACAACGAATAAAAGGAACAAAAATCTCAATTATCATAGAGATTTAATCTAGTGAGAGGCCATGACATGAAAAAACAAATATGTATGCCCAAGGGATAACTGTTATAAAGATTGGAAATGACAACGAGGACACAGAACAACAGGGAGACAAAAGTGTTTGTACACAGGGTTGTCAGGAAAAGTGATGGCAGGCAAGACAAGGAATTGAAAAAGAAAGCCATGCATCTACCAACGAGAAGGAGCATATTCAAAAGTTAGAAGGCAGGAGGGTGCCAGACTAGCTTGCTAAAGTACAGTGAACTGGGACCAGAGGGAAAGAAGAGGAGGTTAGTGGAGACAAACTGGGAAGTTTATGTTGGGACTTGCAGGGCCATCCAGGACTTTGGATTTTATCCTCCCTGGTACAGAAGACCACCAGAGGAGCTTAACTTATGGCGCTACAAGGTAGGAAGAGGTAAGCAGGAAGAGCAGATAAGCTCTGCAATAACCTGGGGAGAGATGATAGTGGTTTGAATTAGGGGAGGTGCTCAGGGAGGTGAGCAATGTACAGAGCATTGGAGAGCACCAACAGGATTTACTGATGAATTACATGAGCTACATAAGAATGACTCTTTGATTTAAGCTAATGGATGATAAGATTTGCTATTTACTTGGATAGGGAAGATTATGGAAATTGAAGCTTGGTTTTCAACAAATCAAATAATAAGTCTATTAAGATACCTTTAAATAGAGATGTCCAACAGGCAGGTAGATATATGATTTTTATTAGATTTAGCTGAGGTGTAATTTTGGAAGTCAAGGCTAATTTTTTTAAAAATCATTTTTTTTCTTTTTTGGTACGGAGGATTTAACTCGGGGGTGCTCAATCCTCTGGTGAGCTAAATCCTCAGCCCTTTTTAGTTTTTAAAGACAGGGGCTCGCTAAATTGCAGAGACTGGCTTCGAACTTGCAACCCTCCTGCCTCAGCCTCCGGAGTCGCTGGAATTACAGGAGTGCACCAACCACATCCAGCTACCTACACTTATTTCAAGCTATGTATTTGTTTAAAGTCAGCCAGGAGGAAATGAAGTTTGGAGAGGATCTCATGAGTTTGGGGAAGACAAACTGAAATTAGTAAAGAAGCACGCGACCACGCGTGATTGGGTCAAGTAGGGGAGTGAGGACACAGGTTAAGACATTTATTTGACAACTTATTTTCTCTGACGAGAAAACTCTGCCCAAAGAACTCTCTAACCCAAGATTTCAGTAATTGCTGTTAAAATGTATAATGAAACACGAGCCTCCGGCTTTCCTAGCAACTTAGCTTTTCAAAGCACAGGGTTCTGATTGCTCAAGTCGCGACGTTTCCCAGTAACTGCGCAGCGAGAAGACGCCGTCGCTCCTGATTGGGTCTTCTGAGAGGCTATAGGCGGGACTAGGAAACGGCGAGGTGGGTTTGGACCAATGAGTGGACTCGTAGAGCGAGGGAAGGCGGTCTTAACACGTACTAAGTTCCAGGAAGTTGGTGTGACCTCTCAGCTGGGAAGACTCTCAGTCCCCTCTACCAGTGCCCCCGCCGAGAGACTCACCTAGAGCCGTGGCTCCATCGCTGCTGTAAGCCTGGATTTCCTGGCTTACATATCCCCTCGGGAGACAGAGTTCCAGGGCTGGGCGACTGAAGCTTCAGCCGGTCCTGCGGGGTGGCCTGGGAGAAATGGGACAGCGCCTTTGCGCGCGAGGCTTCGAGTCCCGGAAGTAATAACTGTCCTGACCTTTTGGTCCGGAATGCGGCCGCCTGTTTTCTCCCGTGCACTTGGAACTGCATAGTTCTTTGACCCCGCAGGTGCTTCTGTGTCGCAGTTTTCAGTCTTAATATTGCTCCATCCCAACATCATTGTCATTTCCCAGTTGTTGTCACTGTTGAAGTGACCCGGGCAGCATTTAGTAGGGCCAGGATTGGTCCTTTAAAGTAAAGCTCCTCAAACGCGAACAACGTCAGGTCGGGATTAGGTAGGTGATATTGGGAGAGGAATCCCAGATTGTGCATTTCTAATCTATTCCCTTGACTCTGAACCAGAGTAGTAAGACAATAGGGAGATTCAAGAGGGGATAGATGTTGGCCGTGGCAACCTTAGGTGTTCTTGTCCAGTAATCAAGGTAGGAGGAACCATATCCATCCACAGATTTGTCCCTGTTAATGGAAGGACTGTTTGAAGGAGACTCCCAACACGAGAATAGTTAGAAATGTTTTTGGTCTTCCCTGTCCAACTACGTGCACTACACTTTTATGATGTTTTATAATTTTATGAATGTCAAGATTTGAAAACATTCAATTTAGACATAACTGCTAACTTTAACAACTTTCTTAAAAAATAAAAATGGTAATACACAGGTATTCATAATTATATCTTTTTTTTACTTGGTGTTTTGATTGGGCATTTTTTATGCCATTATATAATCTACTTTTCTTCTTTTATTATGAAAAATTTTAAGCATAAACAAAGTGGAGAGAATTTTACAGTGAAAATTTTGCAGTGCAATTCTCAAGAAAGGATTCCCCTTGTTCACTTAGCAATTCTGAAGACATTTGGGGTTATCACAGCTGGAAAGATGCTACTGGAATCTCCTATGTAAAGACAATGAAAGTTAATCAACTTCTTGCTATTCAGAGGATATTCTTTTAAAGCAGAGATAAGATTGATAAGGTTGCCAGGTGTAGTGGCACACACCTGTAATCCCAGCTGCTGGGGAGGCTGAGACAGGAGGATCCTGAGTTCAAAGCCAGCCTCAGCATACTTATGTAACCCAACTCCTACTAAGATATAGCACCACTTCAGAAAAGTTCCTTCAAGCTTTTTCCTAGTCAGTTCATGCTCAACTTCCCGCAAAGGCAACCACTGTTGTGATGTTTTGTCCCAGTCTCGATGGGCAAAAGGTGCTAAGTCAAGGAGAAATAAAGAATGTCCACATGGCTCTGCCATTTTCAATGCTTTTTTTCACTCAAATCATTCAATACACTTTCACTCTATAGGTTCTTAGTCAAGAAAAATGACAATCCTTAATGCTAGGCACTGCAATAGACAAAATCAATTCATAGCAAACAATTCTAGATAAATTCACAGTGAACAATTCTAGATTAATTAATTCTAAGGACTGAAAGCACAGTTAATCATGATAGGCTTATGACAGACATTCCCTCTGCGTGCTAAGTTCAAGTGTTAGCTCAAAAGTCTCAAGCCTTAGGTTTTAAGTCCAGCAGATGCACACTCACTCAGACAGTGTTGATCAGGTCAGGAACCAAGACAGGCTTCTCCTTAGGTGAAGCTGACCGCCAGTTGAGGAGACGGCCTTAAGGAGAAGTTGAGGCTCTCACCAGGGTCAAGATGTGGCTGTAGAGTTTGAGAGCAATAAGGAAGATGCAGAGGATCAGCAAAGAATGAGAAGTGTTGGGATGTCAGTGCAAGTCCTCATCAGACTCTCAGTGTAAGGGCATCAGTTTTGGCTGGCTGAATGTCTATTTATTTGCTCTTTTGACGCCCCTCCCCTTTCAGTCCTTAACAGCTGCCACTGGATTTCTCAATGACATTTGCAGTGGGATTGATGGTCTGGTGGTCCCCACCCTAATCTTTTCGCCTTTCCCTCTAATCGGGAACCTTTTCCTCTAAAAGGTGGAGGACAGCCGGCCTGAGGCTTCACTCTGAGCTTATCAGGGTGGCAAGAAGTGGCTTGTTTGTCACAGGACCTCTCCAGTAGGCATGCCTGGTGAGACTGCAGGTTTCAAACAGGAGTTCTTAAAATGAAGTGGCTTAGGCTCAAGCCCAAGGCCATGCTCATATTCCCCTACCATAATTAGTTTTGTCTGGTCTAGAACTTCAGCTAGTTCAATCATACAGTAGGTAATTTTGTGTATACTTTCAGTATCATAGAGATACATCCATGTTCTTGTGTGTATAGGTAGTTTCTTTGGTTGTGGTTGTTTAGTAGTTTTCCAGAAACCTCCGAGATGCAAGTGGTCCAGTTGAAACAGAGCTTCTGACTTTCCGCAGGCTGGAGAATGGAAACTAAACAACTACCTTCATGCCCAGACCTGTGACTCGGCCCAGAAACCCACAACCTGGGCTGTGCAACACGTTGATCCAACGGCATAAATTTCGTTTTTACCGTTCAGAACCACAGACCACCACCAGTTACCCACGCTTTCAGAAAGATTTAATTTACTTCACAGATAACCCACCCAGGAAAAACTTCATCCGCGACAACTCCGCACTCCTGTGCGCCAGCTTCCGGCGTGGATTACACCGAGGCGCGCGTCAATCAGCATCTGCGCGGCCCACCCTGGGCCAAGTGGCTTCCCATAATGCCGCTTCCCGGAAGTTCCGGCTTTCCAAGGGGCACGGTGGATTCGGCTCTGTTGCTCTCTATTCGTCACCGAGAGGAAGACGGAGCCGGCCGCCTAGCCCAAAGGCCCATTAGGGGATGCAGTTATGGGCGCTGTCACCGTGGGTAAGTTCTGCCTCTACTGACTCGCGATCACCACTCTTCTGAGCTCCTGCGCTGGTAGAGCATGAATTTTTCCGTCCCAACCGCGTTCTCCCTGGAAGGGCCCCTTTTAAGCGTGTTACTCTAACCTTTCTGGTGCTACGTTCTCATTGGCTTGATGTCCTGTCAGTCCCAGGAGCTGGCCAATGAATTCCCGGTGTTGGCGTCCTTCTCGACCCCGGACCCCAAGATTCCCCGGTGGATGCGGAGCAGTTGGAAAGGGTGGGATGAGAAGGGAAGGAGGCGTGGCGGCCTCTGGGAATGTAGGTGGGCGGCTGGCTAGCTACCGGGAGCGCCCGATGAGTGGGGTGGGTTTGTAGCTGCGTCCTTGTGCTTAGTAAGAATAGGATCTGTCTCCAAACCAGATGCGTACTCCCAGGCTGGACTAGTTTAGGCAGAACTTGAAAGCCACGTTTCAGAAAGGTCTGCTGACAGGATTTTCCACACACATTTGTAATGGAAGCGAGTAGGCAGGGGAAGACTGGGAGGGCAGAAGAAGGGAATCGGATCAATCTGAGATGTGGTAGAGCTAGTGCTGATTTAAAATTTTCATGAGGTTCTGTAAAGAGTAAGTTGACTAATATGCTAATTCTTATCCTGAGACTCAACTGAAAACATCTAGTAGCTTTATTGTTGTTTTATAGCTGATGATACAGTACTTATTTTTCATGACTCTTTAGTTGCCTTTATAGTTGTCAAAACTTTACTGGACCTCTTTAGTGACCTCCTATGTCCTTTACCTGCAGCAATTAGGATTCGCCTTTCAAGTGTTCCTTTGGAGTGTGAGCTACTGCAACCAGATTTACTAGTGCTGTCTTCATTACTGCAGACTTCTGACTTCTTCGTTCTTCTTCCTTTTCTTCTTCACCAGAACTTGTTCGCTTCATTCTTTTGTACCTACCTTTTGCACATTGTAACCATCCTTTATGCCTCAGGTACTCGTTTTTCCATTTTAACAAAAAGAAGTATTTCACGAGGAACTGCTGTATACTAGCACTGGTGGTAGATGCTACAGGCAACTCAGAAATAATGCCTAGAACCGTTTTTTCCTACAATTTCTTATTGCTGAGAGAAAAAATGACATGTTCAGGTTAAAGATTTAAGAAACACCCCAAGATAAGTATCAGATAAAGGGACAAGATGAATAATGCACACTAAAATAGTGGGGAAGTTTAGTGGAGAGGTTTATTTAAAGTGGAAGTGTTGACTAAGACTTTATTGAAATGGAAAGCTTGGAGATTTTGGATGGATGGAGAAAACTCAGAAATCAAAGGCACAGAGGTTGGGACAAGGTATTTGGAGTAGAGGCTACTGAAGAGTTGGATTTGATTGGAAGGGAAGAATGGTGGTCTTAGAACCCAAACATCTGTGTTTTAGTTATATTTCTGTAACCCTGTGTTCTTTCACTATTTTGTTTCTGAGTTTCTTCTTTTAGTGAAATATCCCCATTTAAAGGGTTGTGAAATCATATGTAAAAATATTTATGAAGTACTTTGAGACTTAGAAGATCAAAGGCACCATGTAATTATTACTTCAGGTAGTTTTTTTTTTTTGGTGAAAGAGTAATGAGAGTCAGTATTGCCAAAGCATTTGGGCCAAACTATGAAGGACTGTGATGGTAAAGTTGAGGAATATGGACTTGGAAATTATTAAAGGCTTTCAGTGAAGAGAGTGATGTGATTAAAAATGGCATTATTGGAAAACGAATCTGGTACTGGAATGCAGCACAGATTAGAGGGAGTTGGAGTGGAGGCCAGAACTTGGGTACTATTTTTTTCTAAGATCTACAGTTAAATGTTTATCTTTAAGGTAAGGAAAAGTACATAAAATATTCATCCTTTGTATGATCCTCGTATACTTTTGTGTTCTCATATACTTTTGTGTTCCTTTGTTCATTTATTTATTTTCTAAGCATTTTAAGTTATACTTGGAAAAGATAATTATCAATTGTACTTTCAGTTTTTATACAAATCTCTTTGAATGACCTTCAGTTACACTAAGGCACCAAAAGCCAAAAAGGGGAATATTTCTAAGACACTAAGCCAGTTAGAGCACCTGCTTTGCATGTATTAGACTCTGGGTTTTCTCACGCGTGTGCACACACATGTGTTTGTGCGCGCGCACACACACAGTAACAGTGTTTTCTCCAGGCCCTAATTTGCCCTAATCTCCACTTACACATTAATGAACATTTCAGGTACAATACCTTATAATCATTTAAGGATTTGTCACTAACAAATTATTTTAATGCACAAAAAAATGGCTTTCAAAATTATTAATAATTTTAAAGTTAGATATGTAGTTTTTCAGTATTTTTCCTGTTTTCTAATTTTGAATTATTGATTAAAATAGTGAAGATTTGATCTACAGTCATATTTGTATTCCAAAGTGATTTTGGCAATACTATAGTAATGTAAATGGTTGATAATGAAGTTGTAATCAATTTTTTGTTAGCTGATACTGTTGGAAATTCTGGTGAAGAAAAATGCATCACTTTTTATATGCAGGTTTGAAATTACTTTGTAAAATTTCTAACTATTTAGGAAGTTGCTTTCAGAATTATTTTTTAAGGAAATTTTTATATTTTTGCTGTACCAAGGATTGAACCGAGGACCTCCTGCATGCTAGGCAAGTGTTCTACCACTGAGCTCCATCCCAAACCCTTTTTATTTCTGAGATATGGTCTCACTTAGTAGGCTGCCCTTGAACTTGTGATCCTCTTGTCTAAGCCTCCTGAGTGGTTGGGATTACAGGTGTGCACTATCATGCCCAGCTCAGAGTTTGTAATTGATGTGGTGAGGAGTTGAATTTCTCTTAGTGTCAAGTGTTGAGACTTTTCAAGATCTGTGTATGAAGACTGAAGCTCTCCCCTGATATTTAGATTTACTGAAAGCCTCTTGCCTTTCTTTGCTAAGAATCATTTTCCCAAGGTATGAGGACAGGGAAGTACTATCCCAACTACCTCAAAGTTCTTATTAAAAATTAGATGATTAAAAAAAAAGCAATTAAAAAATTAGATGATATATGTCAGTAGTCTTTGTAAATTATAAAATGTGATAGACATGCAAGACATTATATATGGCTTAGCTGTATTTCCTTTTCCTAGAGCAATATAAAACATTTTTTTTCTTGGTCAATCTAACTTTATCTTGTTTTCTAGATTGTTATTTTGTGTCAGTAAATAATCCATAAAGTGCCAGCATGGGAAAGAAACGGACAAAGGGAAAAACTGTTCCAACTGATGATTCCTCTGAATCTTCAGGTATATTGCACTAATTGAATCTTTAACATTTATATTCCTAAAAGGATATTTGTTTTCCTAAAAAGATTTTAACATATAAAAATAGGATCAAAATGTATATTATTGTTATGTAATCTGCATTTTAATGTTTACATTTATATGTAATTTACTAGTCTTATATGGCATTTTAGTAGTGTATAATTCCATTGATGTAAAGGGTCACAAGTGCATATTTCATTAACTTAGCTAATTCTCTACTGTTACAGACTTAGGTAAATTTTCACTTTTTAGTGTTAAGAATGGAATAATAATGAACATCTTTGTTGTTAAATATCTGTGCACATCCAATTATTTTCTTACTGTAGATCCTAGAAGTAGAACTGTTTTGAATCAAAGGGTATAATGATTTTCAAGGCTCTTTTGATTGGGTTGCTAAATTGCTATTCAGAAATGTTTTACTAATTTATAGGCCCCCTAGCAGCATAATCAAGTGCCCATTTACTTGAACCTTCACCAGTGTTGGTTATGATTATTTGTAAAAAACTTTGCTGATTTGATAGTTCAAAAGGGTAGCTTTTTTTTTTTTTTTTTTTTTTTAATTTGACTATTGGGATTCAGCAGTTGTCTTGCATATCTCATTTGTTTTTACTTTTCTCTTGGTGCACATTCGTTGAGCATAAAGCCAGTTGTGCTACTTAAATAATTTCTAAAACTTCAGTGTTCCTGAAACAATGAAAACCCTTGAGAATGGCTTGTAAAGCCCTTTATTCACTTGACCCCAGTATAGTTTTTAGTTTCAGGGTCCAGTTGCTTATTTTTCTACCATCTGAGACCCTGCCATTCAGGGAGACAGCATGAACATTTGCAGGTTCTTATTCATAGGATTGTTCTCAGATTGCCCTTTACTCCCTGAGGTCGTAGTTTGAATTGTGAACTGTGAAGTCAGAAACTTTCATCCAAGTTCTGGCACAGCCTTTCAGTAGTTATATGACCTTGGATTCTAAATCTTAGTTTTTCATTTGTCATTGGAAATACTAATGTGCTCTTTCTGGGTGATTGTGAGGATTAAGGAAGTATTATATGTAAAACACTTAGCATGTATTATTAACACAGCTATAGGATGTGTTAATCAATATTGGAGATTTTTTTTATTACTATTAATATAGTCCAGGAATGTATATGTTATCTCCCTTGTGAAAAATTTGGAGTCTTTAGCTGCCTCTTCTTGTGATGCTATAGCATGTTTTAGAAATTCTTACAGATTAATTTATTTAGCTTCTGCTCCTACCAGAGTATGAGCTATTCAAAAGAGAAGAGTGTGGCTTGCTTGCTTTTAGGTTGCCTAGTATCTAGTGTAGTGCCTGGCCTGAAGTAGGTGTAGTGTTGACTGAATGAGGGACTTTCTCTCCAACTTCTTTAATATAAAGAAAACATATAAAGGACCTTCCTTTAAAGAAAATAGATAAATTGAAGTGAATTTTTAGGCATGGTAGTGATTATATTTAGAACTTTAAAAATGAAAATTTCAAATTTGAATAAGATCTCTTTCTTGGATGCTTGGTGGTAGAACACTTGCCTAGACACGAGACCCTAACTTCGCTTCCCAGCATGACCACCAAAAAGAAAAAAGGAAAAAAAAGAAAAAGCCACGTAATTATCATAGTAGCCAAATATCAAGCAAGATTTTAGGGTATTTGATTGTTTATAGGGTTAATTCAGTTTTGAAGTTTGAATGAAAAATTAAGTTTTGACATTAATAAAAATCTATTTTTGGCCTCATTTTTAAATTGTTTGTTTTAATAGAACCTATATGTAGACACATTAGAAAAGGATTGGAACAAGGTAATTTGAAAAAGGCTTTAGTCAATGTGGAATGGAATATTTGTCAAGACTGTAAGACGGACAACAAAGTAAAAGATAAATCTGAAGAAGAAACAGAAGAAAATCCTTCAGTTTGGCTATGTCTTAAATGTGGCCATCAGGTAATTCTTAGATTTTATTAATTTGGGATTTTAGAAAACTCTTCAAATTTGTTTTAGAAGGTGTCATCTAAAAGTACTGTTATGGCTAACTAGGACAGATGCATACTCTCAGGGAAATGATTTTGAGAGTAAGATTTGTATGTTGGCAGTTTACTGGTGAGTATTCTCAAGTATCACACTATTAAAAGAGTTAGGAAGCAGGAATAAGCAGAGGGAAAAGTTAAATTAAGCTGTTGCAACAGGTGCTCAGCTGATTATATAGTGAACTCTGGCCTTTGAGCAGTATCCTAAATTAAGGCAAAGAGCCTTTATACCCATACAGAGACCTTCATTACTGGTGGCTTGTCCCTAGAGAGTATCATGGGCAGGTTCGCTCCCTTTTGTTGAGGATAATCCTGGGGTTAGATGGACTTTGCTGTGAGTTCTCATCAGGCCACATTCCAGGCAGCTGGGGGAATGAATACTTTGGTCTTGAAGGTGTGTATGTGACTGCCTGGTGCATGATTGTCTGTTACACCTGCACACATCTGTTGTCGTGGTACTAAACATCTGGCTACCAGTCAGTCCTTAGTGATGGCAGGTTATGTGTATAGGAATTTGGACTACTAGGCAGACTTGTCAGGAAGGTAAAGATGGGGCAGAGAGCCAATTTGCTTTTCCATATTGTATAAGTTGAAAAATTTCATTGAAATAGTTACTGATTCACATATAATCCTAAGAAATAATAGATATTGTTAAGCATTTTGCCAGTTTTTCCCACAGATAAATTTTATAAAACTACTGTGTTTTTAGCTGATAGTTGATATGTAAATAGGAGATTGTGGGAATTAACATTGGAAAAATAGGTTGGGATCAGAGGGTATCCGTTCCTTAAGAGTTTAAGAGAGCAATTTGCAATCTTTGAATTGTTTATGAACAGAGCTTTGTTTTAGGAACATTGAACTGAAAAAATTAAGTATGTTATGAAGGATACTAAAGTGAAGAGAATATTTGGGAGACTCTTAAGGGTCCAAAGCAGATATGACGATTTGTGTTAGTGTGGTTTATTTGCGACAAGAAAGACAAATTAGAGAGGAAGAGTACTTTTAATGCATGGTTTTCTAGATACCATCTTCCGTAAATGTCCTAAGTTGCTTATGGATATTTAATTTTTAACAAAATCCATATTTTCTAGAGCTTAACATTTTATTTTCAAAATTGTAAAAAAGTTCTTGAGACACTTCTGTATTCATGATCAATTATGAATTCTTCTCTTTTCATGAATTTTTGTAACTTTGAGGTTTATGATTTTGCTTCTCTAGGGCTGTGGCAGAAATTCTCAGGAGCAGCATGCTTTGAAGCACTATATGATACCAAGATCAGAGCCACACTGTCTGGTTCTCAGTTTGGACAACTGGAGTGTGTGGTGAGTGCCTATTATGTGAAATACTGGAAAATGAAATTGTTTGAAGATGTTTAAGGAGCATGAAAGGTAAACTTCTTGCAGTGTTTACCATCATAGAAGGCTAGAGAAGGTGATGTGATGTTATGAGATGCTTTTGCAACTTTTGTATACACATAAAATTGCAGCATATAGAAAATATAGAAATCTTTGTTCTTTTGATTTCTTGCTTATGAGATTTTTTTTTTTAAAGAGAGAGAGAGAGAATTTTAATATTTATTTTTTAGTTCTCGGCGGACACAACACCTTTGTTTGTATGTGGTCCTGAGGATCAAACCCGGGCCGCACACATGCCAGGCTATCGCGCTACTGCTTGAGCCACATCCCCAGCCCCTTGCTTATGAGATTATAAAATATACGGTGGGTTGTCTTTAGTTTAAAGGTTACAATGCTAAGAACAAATTTCAGATAAATGAGAATAAAGTAAAAATTTGACCATGAGTTGTATGAAAATAAATGTCAGACTGGCATGTATTTTTCTGTGTTTTTACATCATTAAAACAGATTTTTACTTAAAACTATTTTCACAATGCATAGTACTGACCACTATATGATCACGGCCAAAACTATTTTCAAAACAGTGTTCAGTGAGCATCATTTGTTAGTTGTAAAATTTATTTTGTTGGTGTAGGTCTGTAGTTTAAATTATGTGTATAAATTAAATGATGTGGGGCTAGGGATGTGGCTCAGTTGTAGAGTGCTTGCCTAACACGTGTAAGGCACTGGATTCTATCTTCTGCACCACATAAAAATAAATAAAATAGGGCTGGGATTGTGGCTCAGTGATTGATCAACTTGCCTCTCAAATGTGAGGCACTGGGTTTGATCCCAGCAGCAAATAAAATAAATAAATAAATAAGTATTGTGTCCATCTACAATCAAAACTATAAATAAACACATAAATACTTAAATAAATACATAAATAAAACAAAGGCATTATCCAACTACAACTAAAGAATATTAAAAAAAATAAATAATAAAAGAGCATGCTACAGGGACACTGCTACATCAATGTTCATAGCAGCACAATTCACAATAGCAAGACTGTGGAACCAACCTAGATGCCCTTCAATAGACGAATGGATAAAAAAAATGTGGCATTTATACACAATGGAGTATTACTCTGCATTAAAAAATGACAAAATCATAGAATTTGGAGGGAAATGGATGATATTAGAGCAGATTATGCTAAGTGAAGCCAGCCAATCCCTAAAAAACAAATGCCAAATGTCTTCTTTGATATAAGGAGAGTAACTAAGAACAGAGTAGGGAGGAAGAGCATGAGAAGAAGATTAACATTAAACAGGGATGAGAGGTGGGAGAGAAAGGGAGAGAGAAGGGAAATTGCATGGAAATGGAAGGAGACCCTCAGGGTTATACAAAATTACATACAAGAGGAAGTGAGGGGAAAGGGAAAAATAATACAAGGGGGAAAAATGAATTACAGTAGAGGGGGTAGAGAGAGAAGAGGGGAGGGGAGGGGAGGGGAGGGGGGATAGTAGAGGATGGAAAAGGCAGCAGAATACAACAGACACTAGTATGGCAATATGTAAATCAATGGAAGTGTAACTGATGTGATTCTGCAATCTGTATACGGGGTAAAAATGGGAGTTCATAACCCACTTGAATCAAAGTGTGAAATATGATATGTCAAGAACTATGTAATGTTTTGAACAACCAACAATAAAAAAAAATAATAATAAAACAATAAAAAAAATAAATAATGTGTATTTACATTATGTGTAGAAATGACTTTAATATGATAACCAGTCCAGTAAAATGTCTGGAGTTTTTAACAGTATGTATATGTAGAATAGTTCTAGCTAACTATTAAAAGAAATCACCAGATTTCTTATTAATAGTTAGCTAGAACTATGCTACATACATAATATGCGTAGTTTTCAATGGGCACAATGGCACAGGTCTGTAATCCCAACAGTTTGGGAGACCGAGGCAAGAGGATTATGAGCTCAAGGCCAACCTCAGAATTTAGTGAAACCCTGTCTCAAAATAGGGCTGGAGGTGTGGCATAGTGGTAGAGCACCCTGGGTTCAATTCTCAGCGCCACACAGACACATGCATAGTCTTCATAGTCTTCAGGAAAAGATTTTGTGCATTTATGTTTATGTAGTACTAGAGAGCAAACTGTGGGTACTCTATCCATTCTCAGCCACTTTTTCTTAAATTTTATTTTGAGAAAGGGTCTCACTAGATGCCTTTGAACTTGGGGATCCTCTTGCATCTATCTCCCAAGTCCCTTGTGCCACCAAACCCAGCTTAGAAAACAGAATTTTTGTTTTCAGTTGTTTTAATAGAATAATTTGACAGTACATATTTTGGGTTTCAGGAATTGTCATCTAGCTCTCCTTTTTTGCTTGTCAATTTATCATTTTTCTTCTGTGATCTTTTTGGACATAGGTGTTACCTCTGTGATAATGAAGTCCAGTATAGTAGTTCAAACCGATTGGGCCAAGTGGTTGATTATGTTAGAAAACAAGCTGGTACTATAATTCCCAAACCAGGTAAAATAATTTGTTTCTTAATAGATACTATAATGTTGATTTATATATCTGCTGATATTTAGACTTATTTATTGTGCTACCTGGTATTACATGTAGCTGCATAATGGTTAGTTGTGACTGACTTTAAAACTCTGAAACTATTTTTGATATAGAATGTAAAATGTTGAAAAATTATGCCATTATGAGGTATTAGAATGAGAAGCATTATAGTGTTGTGAGAAATGAGTAGTTATATGTGATGACAGTCTGGATGGAGACTTTGACTGTGGGATTACTATTGATCTGTTTTATATAGTATTTAGGTGGTATACTTTTAACAAAGTTATAGTGGGTCATGAAATAAAATAAAGACTTGTAACTCCTTCTAATGGTCAAATACTTCTTGGTTTCTTCATGATAATTAAATTAATTGGTCTGATATACAGCATTTACTTTAGGCTTATGTTTTTGATAATTGTGGTCCAATTTTTTTTTGTCAGATCTAGACAAGGATAGAGAATTGTTTTTGAGAATTGATTTTTGGCCCCTAGAATTGTTTGATTTTAAGCATTATCTAATAAATGTAGGTAAATATCCTAAAAAGAAGAATGCATAAACAAATTTCAGAAGAGATATAAGCATTTGGTTGACAAATGAAACCAAACAATGTACATTTTCATATAAACTTTCCCCTTTTTATTACATAAGAATTTTCTACAAGTGAACATTTCTTTTACCTGTGAAATTACAATTAAAAAAAAAAACAAGTTAAGAATGTGGACGTAAAATAAAATTTTAAAATTGGTGACAATGGCCTTAGGTAAAAGTCACCAATTCTAATGCTCTGTTTCAAGTGTAACTTTGAATGTGATATGGATATTTCATATTTTGCCTTTTTTGCTGCTTTTTTTTTTTGTTTTTAAGCAGACAGGGATAATGGAAACATTGAACTTGAAAACAAAAAATTAGAAAAAGAGAGTAAAAATGAACAAGAAAGAGAAAAGAAGGAAAACATGACTAAAGAAAATCCACCCATGAATTCTTCCCAAATAACCGTGAAAGGACTCAGTAATTTGGGAAATACATGTTTCTTCAATGCAGTTATGCAGGTGACAGTGTCATACCCCCCCACCCCACCCTTTTGAAATATAGGGTCTGTTACTTATAGTATCAAGTTTTTCCCCATGAAATTTATTTCTATGCATTCAACATAACTCAAGTAATTGTTTATTGCATGTGAATAAACCATAGTAGTGAATGGGGGTGATGGGATTTTAAAGCAATCATGGCTCCTGCCTATTGGAGCTTGCATTTGGTCAGGGAAGCCCAGGATAATTTCCACAAAAACAAAAATGTAATTAAAAGTGGTGGTGAAAAAATTGTGATGGTAGTGTAGGATAGGTACTTCTAACCAGGTGATGAAGGAGAATGTCCCTCTGAAGTGATGAAGAAGCTTAGAATTGGGTTTTAGCCAGAGTCGGGGAAAGAACAGGTCATGACTTTTCATTTCAGTTTTGGTTTTGATTTCATGTTTTGATAGAATGCACACTTAAGAAATTTTGAATGAATTAATTTGCCTTTATGTAATTTCCCTTTTCCATCCTTCATTCTAGAATTTGTCACAAACACCAGTGCTTAGAGAGTTACTGAAAGAAGTGAAAATGTCTGGAACAATTGTAAAAATTGAACCACCTGATTTGGCACTAACAGTACGTACTTTAAAAAAACTTTTATAATAAATTTCCTCTGTGAATATCTATATTCTGAACTGTTTTCAAAGAAAACAATTTTCTACATTACTTCTTTGTTTTTGCTTTTTTAAAATTTTGTACTTTTTGGTTTTTTTCCATGGTACTGGGAATTGAACCTATGGCCTTGCACATGCTGCCACTGAGCAACATCCCCAGCCCTTTTGTTTTTATTTTATACTACTAAATTAAACATGAACAGGCTAATGGAATTTATGAGGAGCCTTTACATTTGTTTGCTTTGTGAGCTAGTGCTCTGCTTCACTTTTGGCAATGTTGATATTTGTGAAACTCTAGGCCTACATTTTTGTTCTTAATGTCTTTTTTTATCCCTACCCCCTCTTGGTACTAGGATTCAAACTCAGAGCCTCACACATGCTTGACAAATTTTTTTCCACTGAACTGTACCTCCAGCCCTTCGTTTTAACATCTTTTAAAGTGACTTATAGCCAAATGAATTCATTTTTATTATTTACATTTTGCTTTAAGTTTTTCAGTTCCTTGGTAGTAACTTCCTGATAGTCTAAAACTAAAATATAGCTGAATTCTTTATAAGATAGTCTTTTACCATAGAGTTTCTTTTATCTTTGTGTGTGTGTGAGGGGTGTGTGTGTGTGTGTGTGTGTGAGTGGGGATTGAACCTAGGAGCACTCTACCATTGAGTGAAATCCCCAGCCCTTTTATTTTTCATTTTGAGTCAGGGTCTCCTTAAGTCGCCTAGGTTGGCCTCAAACGTGCAGTCTTTCTGCCTTAGTTTTCTGAGTCTCTCAAATTACAGGCATGCACCACTGTACCTGTCATGTTTCTGTATCTTTTTATATAATTTTCAAAAAATAGAGCAACTCTATCAGGAACATTGGTAATATGTGTTAACTAGTTACATTTGGGTAAAGTAAGTGATTCTAAAATTTGACTGAAAAATGTAATTTTTATTTCCATATTCAGGAACCTTTAGAAGTAAACCTTGAGCCTCCAGGTCCTCTTACTTTAGCCATGAGCCAGTTTCTTAATGAGATGCAAGAGACCAAAAAGGGAATTGTGACACCTAAAGAACTCTTTGCTCAGGTCTGTAAAAAGTGAGTATCCACTTGATTGTGCCTTTAATGCATCAGTAAAATGCTGAGAAATAATTTAAAAAGTTAATGGTGTTAGAGTCAACCCAGTAAATATATATACTAACTATAATTTATTTCATTTGTATTTAAAGAATTGTATTTTATGTGATAATTACATCTGCCAAGGGCATTATTAGACTAAACAGGAATTTTGAGAAAACTGGGACACCCTAATATTAAGATAGGATCCTAAGGTCTCTTAAAAATAGCTTCATGTTTTAATTGACTCATTGTTGCTTTTCTTTTTCTTTTTTCCTTTTCTGTAGAGCAGTGCGGTTTAAGGGCTACCAGCAGCAAGACAGCCAGGAGCTACTTCGCTATTTACTGGATGGGATGAGAGCAGAAGAACACCAAGTTAGCATATTATTACCACCATATTTTATAATCCCATCTCATGAGCTTGTCTGTTATTTGCTATTTAAATGTTATTAAGCAGTGGAAGCTAGTCATTGAAGCTATTGTACTCTTAAATTTTTTTTTCTATACTGGCTTTTTTCAACTAATGTTTTCTTCATTAGAATAGATCAAGAGAATTAGAAATGATTCTCCTTTTCATAATGCTTTAGTTTACCTGATTTGGTTTACAGCAACATTGTTCTTTAAGGGTCCTATTTTACTAGCCTCTACCAACTGATATTTTTCCCAACCAGTTCCCAGTTGCAGCATACCTTTCTTCTTTTTCCGAGTGTGATTTAGAGCAGTTTTTTGAATGTAAGAAGCATTTTCATTTTATAAAACTTAAGGAACATTTGTTGCATTTAGAAAATTTTGTCTGTTGCCAGGATGTAAAATAATGTATTTGGTGATGTGAATATAATTAATATAATATCACAATGGTGATAGTAACCATAATAGCAACTAATGCTAGAGCTACACTTAGTGGAGCACTGTTGTCTGAAGTTCTCACAACCAGTCGGTGGGGTAGGTCCTCTTACTATTTTCTCATTCTATAAAACTGAATCTAGTGTATAGAGAAGTTTGGTACTTGGTTCAAGGTCTCAGCCTGTAAAGGCAGAGCTGAACATCTAGTTCTGGAGTCAGTTCCTATAGCTCTCATGCAAACACTCTTTTTCGAGGATAAGACATTTCAATGTGTTTCCTAAGGAAGTGGGCATGCTTTGAAAAGCTTTGGTTTACATAGATTTAAGATCTTGAAATGATAAGATAGTACCTTTTTTCAGGTTATTGATTGTGTTAGAGTTATAATTCTTTTTAGCTCCTTGAATTAATTTTGAAAATGTGATTTTGGAAGAATTAATTTTTATTTTAGTAAATCTGGAGAGTTACGTCTTGATCCTTTCTTGATTACATATTTTCTAAGGAAATTAACTTTAAAATTTAATAGTATATATATATCCATTTTATTACTTTTAGAGAGTGAGTAAAGGAATTCTTAAAGCATTTGGTAATTCTACTGAAAAATTGGATGAAGAACTAAAAAATAAAGTTAAAGGTAATGTCTAATTTTTTGAACTAAAACACTATAGTTGAATTCCTCTGTACCTTAGGACAAGATTGCCGGCACTTGTATTTCAAATCCTCAATTATTAACGTATAATTTCTCTACATCACTGTTGATTTTTAAAAATTATTTAGTACTCCATAGGTGAATATTTAAAAAAATTAACTTCTGGTTTATTCTTTATGCATTATTATAGTGAAATTTATAAAGATTGAACTAAGATGATATCACAGTCTTGTTTTTAAAAAACTTAGAACTATAATTAACAGTAAATAATGAATCACACTAATATGAGTTGTCAGTAGCTGGTTAATAATCATAGAGCCAACTTTGATTTTACTGTTGGGTGACATATAAAGATTTAGGACAGATATGTCCAGTAGATCTTATTGTGGTGATGGAACTCTTCCACATGCTGTCCTGTGTAGATGCTACTAGCCACGTGTGGCTCTGGAGCTCTTGAAATCTGAATGGTGAAACTGAAGAACTGAATTGATATTTAGTTTTAATTAAATTTAAATGGCCATAAGTGACTAAGGGGTACTGTATTATAAAGTTGTGGTTCCAATCAACTGTTGATAATTCTACCTTTTTGGTACCCTAGAGAGCCTGGCCAGTAGTAGAGAATTGTGGCTCCTGTGTCCATTTATTATAAAAGTATGTTTTTATATCAGTGGACACTTATCATTTGAATAATACATATAAATTTTATATATTTGGAAAATTGAGTGATTAGGTAATAAAATTATGTCACCTTACATTAAGAGTATCAAGATTCTTTCTGCGAACTTAGAAAAATCAAAAGGAAGATTTCATCTAAAATATTTTCCTGAGGTTTTTTTATTTTTAATTATAAAAGTAGTTCAGTTTTAGAGTTTACAAAGTAAATTACATGCATTTTGTCTCCAAGTTTGGTACCAATGTCTTTATTAGAAAATCAGTGAATGTTAGAGCTAGACATTCATCCTCGTCTGATCTGCTCATTTTACTATTGGAGGTATTAGTATATAGAAAGTCTCACGACTTGCACTATTTGGTTCACACTGACTAAGAGATCACCCATAAGAACTTTTCTTTTCTTAATTCATAAAAGATGATTGTGTTCAGTTGTGTTATGTCTAGAGGCAGAGTATATGTAGCTGCTGACTTCTATAGTATAAAGATAAATAATGCTAATTATGAATGGAGGAAAAATTATTGGATAAGAAATGAAAAATTTTAGAGTTAGGTAAGTAAATAGTTTTATCTTTTCTTATTCAAGTAATTACATAAAGTAATTACAAACTTTTTTCCTACAGATTATGAAAAGAAAAAATCAATACCAAGTTTTGTGGACCGTATCTTTGGTGGTGAACTGACTAGTACAATCATGTGTGATGAGTGTAGCACTGTAAGTGGATATAGTGTGGGCTGCAAGTATTCATTAATGTTTCCTGAAAACAGTTTATTGTTCCCTTCAAAAAAGGAAATATCTAACTTCATAGAATATTCTTTGTTGAACTATCCAAATGTGTATGGTTTTTTTGCTGGAAAATTTTAGCACTTCTAAAATTTGAAGTTGCTTTAATCTTTCAATTTATTTCCCCTAATCTGAAGTCCTCAAAATTGTGTATTTCATTTCAAATTTTCATAACCCGTTATTAAAACCTACTTCCTCTTCACCCAAATGGGGAGGATCTTGATATGTAATGTTTAATGTGAATTTCTTCCTTCCTTTTACATTTTCTTTTTTGTTTGGTTAAGGTTTCTTTGGTTCATGAATCTTTCCTTGATTTGTCTCTCCCAGTTTTAGATGATCAGGTAAGACTATGAAATTTATTTTGTTGAAGTAGATTATTTTTGTTTCTGTTAGATTTTTTATGGGGAAAAAAACCTTGTCACCTTTTTCAAATTTATTATTACTAGTCCATGAAGAAGTTTTTCGTAAATTTACTTTCGATAGAATAAATTTTCGGATTTGAATCAAGAATGGGATATATTTTTCTTATAAGAAAGAAAGGGTGATATGTATATAATTCTTCATAGGTAATTAACTTGATTGCTTTACCCATAGGGAAGTATTTTCCTCCCATTAAAATTATTATTTATTATTTAAGGCTAACCACAGATTCATTGCAGTCTTATGTACATAAATATTAAATAGATATTATTATCTCAATTTTAAGCCTTATTGGTTTGGCTTCCTTTAAGTGGTTGTAGGGAAAAGGAGACATTTCATGAATGTGGGATAAATCGTTCAACTTCCTGTGAAGTAGGGATCCCTTGCCTCATTACTTAGTGGTTAAAGTCATACCACACTTACTTTATTCTCTTTTTCTGTAAAACTATCATTTACATACAAGGAAAGAAAAGAATTAAAAGAAGTACCTGCAGTCTGATACATAAATCATTTATGAACAGAAAAGACATTTAGAAATGGACTGATTTACAATGTGATACAGCATGTAGTTAGTAACATCCATTGCATTCCTTTCTATTACACTTAGATGTGAAGTTCCTTTTTTGCTGTTTTATTTGCTTTCTTTCTCAGTATGTGAAGATTGCTTTCTAGTAAGTGAGATGAATGCATTTTGTCCTAGGCATGTTTTCAAATATTGTGGAAGTAAAACTAGTATAAAATAGAAGTAAAAAAATTTTTGGTAATATGAATTTTCTTTCAACCACCAGGTGGATGTAAAGTTTTGGTATTAACCAATATTTTCTCCATATTTTAAGAGTGGTAAGAAAAGTATAAATGATAAAAATCTGAAAAAGACAATGGAGGATGAAGATAAAGACAGTGAGGAAGAAAAAGATAATGACAGTTACATAAAAGAGAGACATGATATTCCTTCAGGAACAAGTAAGCACTTACAGAAAAAAGCAAAGAAGCAAGCCAAAAAGCAAGCCAAGGTGTGTAACTGGAAAAAGCATGCTTTTCTTATTTTACATTCTGAACTATTGAGTTGTCTGAATTTGACAATTATAGAATTAGCTCATTTAGTATTATCTGCAGGGAAATTGCTTTGAGTGTATGTAAAGAAAAGTTGTGTTTCTTTTTTTAATCTGGCATCATGTGTGATAACTGTTTTTAATAAACTTAGTTGATTTTCAACTTGGTTTTTTGAATTGTTAACACTTGACATTTACAAATTTAAAAATATATAAAGATATACGGTAACTTAAGTCACCTACTATCATTTTATGACTGTCTTTAGTTTTCTATGTATTCTTCTGGAATTTGTTTTGGAAAATTTAAGGAAATACAAATATGTTAGAGACTTTTTTTTTTTTTTTTTACTAAAAACACTGTTCTGGTCCTGTTTTTTGTTTGCTTATATACCTACTTAGATTTTTGGATGCCATTTCATTTCAGGATAGAAAGTGTCTTCATTTTTTTCCCCTGCTGCATTATACTTGTTTCATGGATGTACTATAATTCATTAGCTGTTTCTCTGTTGATTTTGGTTGTTTTTAGTATTTGTTATTTTGGTCATTGCTGTAGTGAATAACCCTGTACAAAATGCACCTGTAGGGTAAATTTTGAGAAGAAGGATTACATTTGTAGTTTCAATAGATATTTTCTAGTTGTCTTCCACAAAGGTACCAATTTATATTCACACCACCACTTGTTTCTTCTGATCTTGATAGCAAAGTGATATCAATCTTTTCTTCTAGTCTGGTAGGTGGAAAATACTATCTCAATGCAATTTTGTTTTTCATTTGTTTTAGTATAAATGAGGTTAAACATATTTTCATGTTTCAGAGCCATTTTATTTTTCTTTTTTTGAATTATTCTTCCATTTTTCATTTGTTTGTTCTTTTCGTTTGTTTGTTCCTTTGTTTTTACTGACACGTTAGAGTGTTTGGTGTCATCTTGTGTTGTTCTTCATCTTTTTGGTATTGTAGATTAGCCTCACAGAGACTATCCTTTGAATTACAGCCCAAAATGCCAACACCTTTGGGTCTTTAGGTACTCAGAAAACAGGAATTTTGATAAAATAGCTTTGTTTTTCTCAAGAGGAAATAGGCTACAGAGGCAAAAAAGAGAGAAAAGAATGATTTTTAGGGGGAAAATCCTTAATTGACCTCTGTACATGTGTCCAGGTGACCTCTGTGCTTTTTCATTAACTTTGTCATCCATCCTTCTGTCCAGAACAGTCCTGTACTTACGCGTCTTTTCAGTTTATTCTTTTTTTTGTAAAGAGAGAGAGATAGAGAGAATTTTTTAATATTTATCTTTTAGTTTTCGGTGGACACAACATCTTTATTTTATTTTTATGTGGTGCTGAGAATCAAACCCAGCGCCCTGCGCATGCCAGGCGAGCGCACTACCGCTTGAGCCACATCCCCAGCCCAATTTATTCTTTATCTTAGTGAAACTTTGACCAAATAATCATAATCATAAGTTATATGGATACATCTTTTTGTTGAGAATACAGTAAAATCTACCACATTGTGTATTTCTTGGCTGCTTGGGTTTAATAGTTGTAGTACTCTGTCTAGATCACTTCTCTTAAAAAAAGAATATTTGCATATTTCTATTTCCCCAGTGCAACAATTTTTTGATTGTTTCTGATTTCATATTAAGACTTTTTCTTCATAATTTATTTGAACCCTGATAGCCAAGGAACTTTTATAATGAGATTCTGATAGTGAACTCCTCCTTATGAAATTATTTTTGATCAGTAAATAGCAAAATTTGATGTGGTACATGTGCTCTACTCCTGTGTCTCCATTTCTTTGTCCCCTTCCACCCCACCCCCGCCTTTGTAATGTTTTATATTCCTTTTACACAGAACCAACGAAGGCAACAAAAAATTCAAGGAAAAGTTCTTCATTTAAATGATATCTGTACCATTGACCATCCTGAAGACAATGAATGTGAGGCTGAAATGTCACTTCAGGAAGAAGTAGAAATTAAATCCAACCATATTTCACAAGAGGAAGTTACACATAAAGAATTTTGTGTTAATCAGAAAGATTTGAACGGACAAGAAAAAATGATAGAAAATATAACTGACAATCAAAAGTCCATAGAGGAAATAGATATTAAAAATATCGATATGGATAATGATCTGGAGGAATTGGCATCATCTACCTCTGAATGTACTAGGAATTTAAATGGTACCTTTCTGAAAGAAGGGAGTAATGGAGAGGTGGACATTTCCAGTGGTTTCAAAAACCTTAACTTAAATGCTGTTCTTCAACCTGATGAAATAGATATAGAGATTCTGAATGACAGTCATACTTCTGGGACAAAAGTATATGAGGTTGTAAATGAAGATCCAGAAACTGCTTTCTGTACTCTTGCAAATAGAGACACTTTGAACACTGATGAGTGTTCAGTTCAATATTGTTTATATCAGTTCACCCGTAATGAGAAACTTCGAGATGCAAATAAACTGCTTTGTGAAGTATGCACACGGAGGCAATATAATGGACCAAAGGCAAATACAAAAGGTATTTAGATTTTCTTACTGTAAATAAAATTAATATGAAGGGGTACATTTTGCACTGTAGAGATGGAGTAGTCTTCTGTTGTGATCTTATCAGGATTTGGATAGCCTTCTTGAAGGTAAATGTTTCAATGGAAGAATGAAAGAAGAATTTTATTGAGGTGACTAGTATTCTGTGATATCACAGCAGCAGTAGGTTAAGTGGGACAGTGTACTGTCCATCACCTTTCTCAGAGGTAGATTATCCCACTGAAATGCAATCACCACAGCTTCCTGACAGATAGTGTTTCCTTGCATCCATAGCTCCCTGTCGGCATTTGTGATGATCTTTGTTTCTCTTGCATCCAGGAAGTCATGCTTGAACTTTTTAGCGTACTTATGTGATGTGTCTATTGCAAAGGGCTAGAGTGACCATTCTTTTGTACAGTTTCCATCAAATAAGAAACAGACATTGACAGTTCCTCTTCTTTTCCTCCCTTTCCCTTTTTTATTTTTTTAAGTTGGGTAAGTGAGATAGGAAAGGGCTACAAATTCCTAAGGACTTTTACTAAAAGTGGTTGAAGTGTTTTAAAATCCTAGTTTTTAATTTATTGACATGTAGATATAAAAAGGAAACATATTGCTTTTGTGGGAATTTTTTTTTTCCATACAGAATTTTTTGATTTAGAGAAGGCAGTGGCAAACTAAGGTCCATAGGCCAAATTTGAGCATCTACCTGTGTTTTTGTGGTATCTGAGCTAAAACACTTTTTTTTTTTTTTTGGTTCTTTTTTTTGTGGAGGGAAATGCATGAGGCACTTCTAGTCAACCAATTTGATGATGTTCCACTTAAAAAAATTTGTGGGGCTGGGGATGTGGCTCAAGCCGTAGCGCACTCGCCTGGCATGCGTGCGGCCCGGGTTCCATCCTCAGCACCACATACAAAACAAAGATGTTGTATCCGCCGATAACTAACTAACTAACTAAATAAATATTAAAAAAAAAATTTGTGAGAGCAAGCATTTGCTGGGATTGAACGCAGGGTCTCATGCATGCTACGCAGGCCCCCCACCATTAAGCTATACCTGTAGCCCTCAAAAATGTTTTTTATAAGTGAATATTTGTAAATTTTGTGATGAAAGGAAACAGCCACTTCAAACCCTAACAAACAAAAATGTTATATGTCATCTAAAGTAATTTTGTTCTTCTCTTTAGTAGAGTGCACTCAAGACTTAATTTATTAAATTTTTATTTCATCCATAAAAATTTATGGGAAATTTGTTTTCTATATAAAATATCTAGAATACACCCTTGGATATTTGCCCCTTGATCCAAAAGCCTAAAATATTTAATATCTTTTCCTTTACAGTTGCTGATCCTTGCTTTAGATATCTGATTTTATAGCAAACTGAATACTTCAGAAGTCAAAAATAATCTTTCATTTGCTAAAATTTGTCCTTTTCTTTAGGTGAAAGAAAACATGTTTATACCAATGCCAAAAAGCAGATGCTAATTTCTCTTGCTCCTCCTGTTCTCACTCTTCATTTAAAGAGATTTCAGCAGGTACCATTTGTTATCCCAGATTTGTTTTAAGTATATAATATTTACTGTGTTATTGTTTTAATATATTAATATGTTTCTTTGGTTTTCTTTAATTCTGTCTTCAAAGAAATAAGTGTATATGTGTGTGTGTGTGTATATATATACATATATATAGGCAAGTGCTTGTCAGAGAGGAAGAGGCGGCATTTAGGTATAGTTCTTCCTTACTTTTCTTAGAACTCATGCTGCTCTTTTTATAGTACCTTATTTTAACCTTAATTCCAGACTTAAAAAGGCAATGTAATACTAAAATCTCATACCCAGGAATATTATAGTTATTTTTCTGTTTTATGTATTACATTTTATTTTTACTGACCCTTGAAAAAAAGATATTGATACTTTGGACTTGCATCATTTTGGTGACCCAGTCTTTTCTTGCAATAGCAGCGTGACTTTCAAATTCTGTTCTAAACTTCTAATCTGATTTTTCTGGGTGACTGAAGCAGAAACATTCAACCTGGAAGTTGTGATGATCCTGCCACAGCTTCCCTGGTTGCTAAGATTTCAGGCTTGCAGCCATTATGCCTGGCCCAGCTTTCTTAATGTTCTGGGGTGTGTGTGTGTGTGTGTGAGAGAGAATGAAAGAGAGATACGTGCACTTAGCAAAAAAATCAACTTGGGATCAAAACCAAATCTCCAAGACTGAACCAGGACTAGATGCTCATGTTTGGATATTGGAGGCGGGTACTACTTAACATGCACACCTTTCTAGGGTAAGAATTGAATTTGTTTGTCCTTCTCTTTTAGGCTGGTTTCAACCTACGCAAAGTTAACAAACACATAAAGTTTCCGGAAATCTTAGATTTGGCTCCTTTTTGTACCCTTAAATGTAAGGTAGGTGAGAGTGGTCTTATTTTAAAGCAAATTCTTTAAAGAGAAATCAGATAAATATGGTTGAATGTTCAGATTATTATACATAGAACACGTGTGAACTTAATCCAACATGTTAGTGATTCTCGGAAAGCCCTGCAAAGTAGACCATGCATCAACTAATATTTAAAGTAAAAGTTAGTAAGATGAGTCAAAATGACATGAGTACTTCAGGCACAAAGAACAACAGGAACAAAGGCATAACAGTGTAGTATAGTGTGCAGGGACTGGCAATGTTAGCAGTTCTAGACTAGTTTAGAGAAGGTATAGGGAAGTAGGGAAATGAAGCCTGAGAGGTAAGATAGCAATGAAGAGTTTCATGATGAGGAACTTCTTAGTAATGCAAGGAGACCCTGAGGAGTTTAAAGCAATGGGGTGACGAGGTTTTATATATATACATAAAACATAGGTTATGTGCTGACATATGAAGACTGGGTCTTAGGAGAGAAATTCTAGAGGTAGTAAGTTGGATTATTCAGTTAGTAAGTAATGAAGCTTATAAAGTAGGGCAGGGGAAAGGGAAGGTGAATATTTCAGGATACAGCAACATTAACCACTGAGAATTGCTTGGTGCTGCAAGGTGAGACAGAGGCCTTTATCTGGATGCTGGTGTGGCACAGAAGCAGTTGAGGGTGACTACTGTAGCCTGTATGAACAGGCAGACAGAATGCTATAAATTGAGTTAGGAAATACAAGAAGAACAGGTTAGAAAGTGGAGAAAGGACAATGAGTTCAGTTTTGGATACAGTGAGTATCAGATATCTTTGAAATATTCATGAGGTTAATGTCTAGGAAACAGGTCTGAAGCCCAAGGGCAGAGAGTTTAGGGCTGGAGATACAGGTTTGGAAATCATGTAAGCAGTGATTAGAAGTGAGATGGATTCTCTGATATGTGGATGCTAATTCACAGTAAAGAAAGGGGGAATAGAGATACTTTGGATTAAACAGTGGGACTGAAGGGAAGGGAGAGAGTATAGGGGTAGGAATGATAGTAGAATGAAATGAACACTATTACGACCTGTGTAACTCTACATCATGGGCAACCAGAATAAGAAGTTATACTCCATTTATGTATGATGTGTCAAAATGCATTCTATTGTCATGTGTAACTAATTAGAATATCTAATTTAAAACATAAAAAAAAGTAGTGAGATGGGATCACTTGTATACTATATAGAGCCTGAAGTAAAAGATCAGGTAGCCAAGGGCAGAGGTTTTGAACATATGAGCGAACAGGGCAAAGGTAGGAGAGGATACTTTCTGTGTGAATTTTAAAATGATGTGAATTTACTTTCCTCACTCCCAATTAAAATTCTTCAAGGTGTGATTTCAGAGTGGGTGAGTAAATTGTAATTATTATTGTTATCACCACAAGGCTAGGTTACTTTAGCTGGTAAGTGGAAATACCTCTCATTACTTTTGAATACAAGGTCACCAGGAATCCATCTTTTGCCTAAAATACCATTGCCATGTGCTCAAAGTTTCAAGGAAAGACTAAGTGTGAACTGAGTGTCAAGAATATCATAGAAAGGGACTAAAAACTAACAACTAGACAGCATAGAGGTCATGCTATGAATTTTTAAGAATAGCATTGGAACTTCAGTGGGTTATAGAGATCAAGTATGTATATATTGTTATAAGTTTTATTGAAAAGGAAAAGAGGTGGACCACTGAAGATTATTTCTAAAAATTTCTAAGACGTAAGTAGGTTTGTAAGCCTAGAGGAAAATCTAGAAGTTGAAGATATCAGAGGAAGCTAGGAGGGCTGAGGGTTGGAGTTTGGTCTTTGAACATAAGGGAGAGGATTGTTTCTTGAGAATGGACAACTTGGAGTTGGGTAGGCTGTGTCTCAGTTTTTCTGAAGTGGGAGGTGAGGTTAGTAAGAGAATAAAAGATTGGAGATAAGGAAGTGGTGAATAGTTGAGACCATAGCTGTGGAGGGCATCCATGGAAGAATTAGGTAGCTCACATATGGTCTGAGTTCTCACACTTTAAATGTGCATAGGTAATCACCTGGGAATCCAACCTTGGCTGGAGTGGAGAAATACCATCTCCAGATGGTATTTCTAATAAATTCTCAGGTGGTGCCCACTTTTGCTGTTTCACACACATCCTGAACAGCAAAGTGTATACTGCAAATGGTGATGAGGACAATGATGACAAAAGAAGTCTCACAGGCCAGAATAAAAGGTCTAGATGATCTGTTAGATTAAATAGTAAGAATACCTGAGGTGAAAGTTGAATAGAATTATAGACTGAGACTAGATTAGTAAGATTCTGAAGTTGAACAGTTCTGAGTGATGACCAAAGCCCAGATTCTAATTCTGACCATGATGAGTAGCTAAAATGGAATGGTAATGAAAATTCTGTGAGGGTTCCAGTGAACACTGAAATATCTGGAAAGCTGACAGGATTTAGAATGAAGTAAAAAGTTCTTTGGTGAATATGGAGGCATAAAGATGAATGTAGTGATTGTGATACTCTAAAGATTTTTGAGAGTAATCTGTAATTGGTCCTTGTCTTGAAGAATGTTTTTCCTTATTGTTAGCCCTATAGAGTATGTGTTCTTTAAAGAAAAAGGAAAGTGAGTACTTGAAAGTTTGTGCTTCTGTCCCTAGAGGGCATCTAAAAATGTGAGTTGGTTTTTGGTACACAGATGACATTGTTGTTTTGTTAAGGACTTGCAGCTCATGGCTTATGGTTTCTGCAGCAGGAAAACAGCAATACCAACTTTCCGGGGGTGGGGGTGGGTGGGAACCCACAACAACAAAGCAAACAAAAAAATCCCAGAAGTATCTCTAGGCTAAGAAGTAAGGGAGAAAATAATTAAGTTCAGACTCATGAATAATTTCTACACTCTGAAAGGATGAATAGTGTAAACTTACCTTGCCAATGACATCTGTACAAATGGAACTAGAACTAACTTTTGGATTCTGTTCATTTTTAAAGAATGTTGCAGAAGAAAACACAAGAGTACTATATTCATTATATGGAGTTGTTGAACACAGTGGTACCATGAGATCGGGTCATTACACTGCCTATGCCAAGGCAAGAACTGCAAATAGTCATCTCTCTAATCTCATTCTTCATGGAGATATTCCACAAGGTAAGTTGTCCTGGAAAATGTAGGCATTAAGCAGATTATGGCAAAATCAGAAAATAATCAATTTGAATTTTCCCATTTATATTTAATTTTATATTTTCTTCTTGACAGATTTTGAAATGGAATCAACCAAAGGGCAGTGGTTTCACATCAGCGACACACATGTGCAAGCTGTGCCTACAGCTAAAGTTCTAAACTCACAAGCATACCTCTTATTCTATGAGAGAATACTGTAACAACAAAAAAGTGCTTTCTTTGGAAATGCATTTGTGGCTTTTTTTAAATGGCTGTTATTAGTAACAATAAAAAATTAAAGACTATAAATCATGTTCACTTAATACTAAATACCTGACAGAAGAAATCATGTTTATTTAAGTATCAAAGGGAAAGCACTTAAAAATTCAGTGATTTTTTTTTTTTTTGTATTGTCATAGTGGTTTTTATTCTCGCTTCATTTCTGAAAAGTAAATTTGAATTATTTAATTCCTCTGTGCTTAATGTTTGGGTGGTGAATCATGACCCATCAATAAACTGACTTCCCCCAAAACTTGTTTTATTACTTTAGATTTTAAGTTACATTGACTGCACTAGATAACATTAAATATTTGCTGTTATCAAAGTATAACATAGGACAAACTTAGACTGTAGTTTGGTACCAAATCCTCTTTTATGCCAGCATGTCAGAGAAAGTCTGCAAATTTCCTTCTAAAAAATTCCTTTTTTACCCAAGTTAGCCAATACTGGGTTAGTTACAACCAGGCTTAGAACATCAAGCCTGTCAAAACTTCTTGTATAGGTCAACATTTTAGAATTTTATGAATAAGAAAACTTTGCATCATTCCTCTGATGAGTTTATGTAAAAACCAGTCAACCAAACTGTTTCTAAAATACCTTTGAGCTGGGTGCAGTGGTTTAGGCCTACAATTCCAGTAACTCGAAGCTGAGGCAGGAGGACTACAAATTCAAGGCTAGCCTCAACAACTTAGGGAGACCCTGTCTCAAAATATAAAAATGGCTGGGGATGAGGCTAAGTGGTAAAGCACCAATGGGTTCAATTCCCAGTACCAAAAAAAGCAAATCCTTTGAAATACCAAAAACAATATAATTCTGAACTATTATTCAAGGGAAGGGCCTATGTCACCAATACATGTAATGGCACATATCCTATAAAAATAAATGAAATCTTTTTGTACATGGTCTTTGTTTTTCAACTTTCCTTACTGATCTTAGAGGATCTGCTTTATGAAAATCCACTTACTTACTATGGAATTCTAGTCCAGGAATTGGCAGACTTTTCCCATCAAGGGCCTGATAGTTAAACTATAATTTTTGGGCTCATTTGGTCTGTCACAAGTACTCAACTCTGCCATTCCTTTGTGGAAAGTGGCATCTGACAACATGTGACTGCATAGGCGTGGCTGTACTGAAATTTAAAAAACCAGGCAACAGGCCATGCAAGGGCAGCTGGTTACTACACACATTAAATGACTTAAGTCCCAAAGCTAATGTGGTGACTCCATTAAGTTGAGTAACAAATATAATGATAATGTTTGAAAATACTGTTTTATATTTCTTTTGAGAAAATCGGCAAATGATGAAAGGGTTTGAAAATATGTATTTCTCAGTTTATAAAAATACAAGAATACATAAGTTTTAGATCATGATCTCCAATCTATTTTAATGCACCTGTGTCAATCAATTTCATTGTAGAATTACTGGGATTTACAAGATTGAAAAAAATTCAGTAGCTGGTCACCAGACAGGCTTTTACAGTAAAACACATTTATTTTATCATTCAGCCAAGGATACAAACACAGAACACTTCTTAATTTAAGGAGAATAAGAAAACCATTAGGCAATTCCTAGTGAACTACTTCAAATACAACCTTCACCTATAGCAAAAATTAGGCTATTCAGTCATTTTGGTCATCATCCCAGTCTTTCTTTCCACTTGGAGGCTTGGGCCCACCAGCTGGTTTTGCCATGATGATCTGTAAAACACAAAAGTGCTTATAAATTCAAACTTCACAAATTAAGAATACTTTTCTATTGGCCTAATTATAAGATGGAGCAATCTTCTTAATATAAGCAATCAATTATATATATTGCATATGAAACGCCATAGCACAAAGTTTTCTAGCTTCCCTGTTAGAAATTATAGTGAACCTTCGGGAGTGAGAAAGCTTCCTGCTTCTGGGGTAAAAACAGCAAAAAAGAAAAAAAAAAAAAAGCCCACACAGATTAGTAAAGGACATTCCAAAACAAGCACTTTGATAACTTAAGCAAACGTGAAAGTTTTTGCATGCATCCCTGGAATAAACCAGTCAGTGTGGCACCTGATTTGTTATTTATATATGAGGTTCGTCTTGCCAACCATCTTTATCCCAATTTCCTTGTGGTTTAGGCGCTTTAGGTCCACCTGCCAGTTTTGCCATTATAATCTGAAGTAGTTGATAGATAGATAAAAGTTTAACAATGAAGCTTTCTCCTACCAATGAGAACTTTAACAATGAAGCTTTCTCCTACCAATGAGAACCAAATAGTAACAAGTGTTTGTTCATAAACAAATCCAAGCACCAGTTCACTGGTAACTAAAAAATAAGCCACAAGACTTTCTTCAGCTTATCTAAAAAAAATGTGCTAAACCAACATTTTACCCAAGTACAGTATAACAATTTCATATCTAAAGATTTTATTAAAAAACAAAAATGGTGGCAGTGGCCTCAAATCACTTTGGGGGAAGCTAAAATAAACTATTAAGCTGAACTATTATTCATTGCTTTCCCAATTTATATGAAGAAATCATCCTGTACAACATTAAAGGGTTTGACTTCTATTTTAAGCAACATGAACATGAAACATCTTTACCACCACTCCAACAGATTTCACACCTGTTTTCAGAAGCCTCTATGAGAAGTCTAAACATAAGGGAGCTGGGGATGTGGCTAAGTGTGGAGGGTGCTTGCCAACCAAGTGGCTCTTGGCTTGAACCCCAACAACATAAAAATAATAGTAGTTCCTAAAATTTTATTAGGCATCACCATTACACAGAGAACTTATTAAAGCTGCATGTTCGACCTCCTTCAGAGTTTCTGATTCAATGGGTCTGGAGTAAGGTCTGAGAATTAGCAAGACCTTAGGCGATGTTGATGTTATCTATTTGGGTACTATACTTCCTTTGAGCACGAGTTGAAAGAGATATTTGAAAAAAGATCAATCCAGCTCCTATTACATCAACTACTGCTCATAATAAAGTCTCTTTCGAGAATATATATACTGCATAAAATCAAGCACGACTAACTTTTAAAGATGGTAATTATTCTAACCCCAGCTTGGCTAACGTAGTTGGATGGGTTTTGCCTATATCTTTATGTGCAGAGTGCAAAAACCAAGGGCACATACCAATAACATCCCTACTATCAAAATTTAGGAAATTTCTTTGTGATAAAGTTTATAGTCTTACTTGGCATTCAGAGAAGTTCCTCAGTTAAGGAACTTCCACTATCAGGATTTCTTTTCACCACATATCTTAGTCTACTTAAGCTGCTCCTGTCCCCTTCTATTTTGGGTTCTCCTTTAACACATCATTTCTAGAATAAACAATTCCTTAGGCTTGTCTCATCTTGACTGAAAAACCAATCATATTCTTTACTGAAAACTACCTGGCACAACAAAACAGTTTTTGCTTGGTACTGGGGACTAAGCCTACGGCCTTTCCCATGTTAGGCAAGTGTTTTATTGCTGGGCTACATTCCTAGCCCTTCTACTTATTTCTAGTAAGGTGAAAGTGGATACCCAGTTCCATTTTTGCTCATTCTCCAGTTATGAAAGAGTCTTTATTTAAAAAAAAAAAATATATATATATATATATATATTTTACTTTTGTTATAGAATAATCATTAACTGGTCCATACTGTGCTTAGAAATAAGTCTAGTTGTCTATTAATTTTCACCTAGGATTTCTTCCAAGTTTAATTTCACATGATTTTTTTTACTTACTGTATATATTCTGTGTCCCTAACAAATACAACTTTCTATAAAGTATTTATAAATAGTTCATTAGTTAATAATTGCTTTGAGAATTTTGTGGCAAATGGATTTAAGATTACTCAATATTTTCAGTATAATTTAAAACTACAGGAGAAGAAAAAATTTTTAAAATGGGGGATGGGATTTGAACATCTAAGGTGTGAGGGTAAGGAAACACTCCTTTGAAAACAAAGAACTATGCTATATTCTAGTTCTATAAAAACGTACCATTGAACCATATTGAAACTACCATTTTTAGATACCAAAGTTTCACTTTTGCTCACCTGATCCACTCTAAGTACAGTAACCGCAGCATTAGTAGCCAATTTTATAGCCCAATATTTTCCCAGATATGTATCTAGAATACCAGCTTCCAACATGTCCTTTACAGCAGGAACTTCAGCCTGTCAAACACAAAACAGTTTCCATCCTTTCATTTTAAATTCTTTTCAGTGAAAGTGCTTACATTCAAAACAAAAAACCTGCATGTGTGACTCCTAAGTACCAGACAAGTAACCACGTGTAAATACTACTCCATACACACTATAAGAGTATCAATAAAAGGAAATCTAAAAATTTCTTCTATCAGATAAAATGAAAACTAATTTTTTAAAATTTTAAATTACAATTCTTAATACACCATTATACAATAATTTATCATATTTCTGATTATACATAAGGTATGTTGACACCATAATGATGAGGGTCTCCTTTCACCATCCATGCTATTTCCCTTCTCCTGAAAACTAATTTTTAAGAAAAACAAATTGTTCATAAATCAGTTCACTATTTCTGATTTTCCCTTTATATGTACTGCTCCTATTTTTAGGTTGTGCATTCACAAAACAATTTAAGTTCATGTTTTTTTATCAAATACCTCAATGTCTAGTCCAACATTTTTATTTCCTTCTTGGTGAACTGCATAAAGTTTAGAGATAACTTCATTGGCCTTAACTCCAGAGTTCTCTGCCAATGCCCGGGGAATAGCTTCAAATGCCTCGGCGAACTTCTTAATAGCATACTGCTCAAGTCCAGGACATGTCTAAAACAAAATGTGTTTATTATTGCTTTTTATTCAAGCAATGAGAAGAAAGTTACACAGTAAAAGCCATACCTCTCCATATGATGTGATTTGTTTGGCTAATTCAATTTCTGTTGCTCCACCTCCAGGTACAAGACGTTTATCCTGTAAGATGTCCAAAAAGCCAGACAAAACAAAAAAACAAAAACAAAACATTAAAAAGGTAGTTTCACTAATCTTTTCAGATTCTAATACTCCATCAGACTAAGTTTTCAACCAGTCATTGTTATTCAAAATCTACTTATAAACTTGGTAAAAATGAATGATCAGACAAATTTTCTTTCTGCAGTATCTAGTACATGAAAAAGGAAGACCAAAGTGAAGAATGGGGACAGTCCTGTCTCTTTTATCTGCATTCTAGGCACTGACAACAATGCTTTAGCAACTGAAGTTAGTACATTAAAACAAAAAAAACACGAACTATTTAACAGTAAAGA